AACTCCCCGAGTCGCTTCCTGAAGCCGCGTGTCCCGCTCGGTGCCCCCAGCAGCATCTCCCAGGGTAGCCGAGTCCTGATCCTCTAACCGATATGGTGGTGCTGTGGCAAGGGACTGGATGCTGCTCGTCTCTGTAGATGAGGGGGTGTGTAGTGAAAGCGTTGTGCTCTCGCTGTGCTATATGGGGAAGGGTCCCAGTATGGAAGCAGCTGAGTCCAGCTGGTCTAGGAGAAGTTTAAAAGACACTGTCAGGGGATCTTAAGTTTATACCCCTCGGCATAGGCGTGTTTGTGGGCTCCCTGGATCATTTAGTGTTCTCTGCTCTTTATCCACAGTGAAACCTGATTTTTCTCTAATAGGAAAGTCAAGGCAGCATCTTTGTGGGGTGCGTACAGTAGGCAGCCTGCCAAGAGCAACAGATAAATCCTCAGTTGAATTTCCATGTGGTCTTTATGTTAGCGTTGCTCATTCTCAGCCCTGATCGTTCATCTTGCGTTTGAATACCTATCCTGCATTGTGTTCACTTCTCCGGCAGCCCATGAGCAGCAGGTAAATTATTCTGGTTTGTGTATGGGAACTAATTGGGTGCCTCAATCAACAGAGGACAATGGGATGGGCTACAGGGCATAGTCCTGCATTGGGGACATGGGAGGTAATGGGGGTTCCATCCACAGTGGCCAGAGTCCTGTAGAAGACTGGAGTACTAATGGATGTAGAGCAGCAGTTCCCAACCTCTTCCAGATGGAGACCCCTTTTGACAATTCAGGAATACTTGGTGACCCAAGGCAATTCAAGAACAGGGGGAGGCGAGGGGGCAGAGCCACCTGCGAAGACACTTGGCGACCCTTTTGAAATGTAATGGCAACCCATATTTGGGTCCTGACCCATAGGTTGGGAAACACTGATGTAGAGGAATCTCTGTTATTACTGGGTAGGGTACTCAGGGATGGACACTAGCAGCTGAGTGTATCCTGGGCTCTGCTGTGGAGATTGGATTAGATGGTGCTTCATAATTTTGCTTCCCATCTCCTTGACCCTTCCATCCTAGGTTCTTCTCCTTCAGAGGCCAGTGAGTGATGTCAGACCAGGATGATGGGGATGCAGGAAAGGAAGGGGCCTTCTCGGCCGAGCACCTGGCCGCTGAGTCCATGGCAGCTGACATGGACCCCTGGCTGGTGTTTGATGCCCGAAAGACCCCCCGGGCTGAGTTTGAGGAGTGGCTGCAGACCTATCAGCCCTCACGGGTGTCTCGCTTTGGAGATCCTGAGCACCGCACTGAGCCTGTGGGCTGGATTGCCATCTATGGCCCAAATTACTGCCCAGAGTCAGGTGACGTGGTGGGGCTGCAGGAGGCTTGGGAGCGGCTTCAGATCAGTGGGCGCCATGTCACCTTCAACACTATCCGTGAGCTGGCACTCAACCACCGTGTCCTCACTGGCAAGTGGTTGATGCACCTGGACACTGGCTTCAAAGTGGACCATGCCTGGAGTGGCATCGCCCGCTCAGTGCTGGAGGGGCGCTTTGGGGTGGCCAAGGTCAGCCCCTGCTATCCTAGCTCGGACCGCAAGCATGTCATCTGCATCTACACAGATGATTTCACTGACGAGGAGAAAGTGATGGATGCGGATGCTGCCATCCGGGGAACCGGCGTCAAGTGCCTGCTCTCTTACAAGCCTGATGTCTATACCTATCTAGGCATCTACCGGGACAATCGCTGGCACCTCTGCCCCACCATCTATGAGAGCAAGTTCGACTTAGAGTGCATCCCCCGCCGCTCCCGTATCATCAACAAAGTCAGCAACACTGAGGTGACTTAGCTGGGGAGAGGGGCGCAGTCTGGCAGTTCCCCCTTTCCCCTCTCCAATATGGGCATCTGGCACCAATGCCTCCCAACTGTGCTTTGAAACTGGTTTCCTCTGGTTTGTTGGAGGTGGCCTGCACTTGATGTACATAGACGTGAGAGTCATTTGAAGGCCTCACACAGACTACAAGCCCAGCATGTAATGTTCCATGCTTCTGTAATAGTCTTCCTCTTCAAAGGGCAGAGGCTCTGCTAGAATCTGCAGCTGGCTGAGATGTCAAACAGCAGGGAGGAGCATTGGCCGCTGGGAGATGTTGTGTCTGCTGGTCATGCTTCTTAAAGATGACAGGTGACTATCTTGCAGTATTCTCGGCCACATTTGGTACACTCCAGCACAAGCAAGGCTTGTATTAACATGGTCCTCTCTCAGTTTCCCTGGAAAGACCCCTCTGCTCTTTTGAGCTGCAGTCACTCGGATAGAAGACCGTGGAAGTTGTTGCAACCAGTTGATACTGTCTCTTTATATTCCCAAAGCCCATGGGGTTTGCTGCTGTCCCTTTGGCAAGCTTAACTCCATTGTGCTACCGTATAGCTGAGAGCTAGGGCTGTGAGTTCAACTCTGTGCTACCACCTTCCGGTTCTGCTTGTATGTTGTAAAGTGTCACAGGTCCCAGCAGCTTGTCTCTTAGGAAAGCCTAATCTGATGGAGCTCACTTAGTAGAGGCCATGTGCCTAAGCTCTGCTTATAAGGCAGCAGCTGGCTGATGTTATTGAGAGGGTTGTTGGAAACTGGTTCTCCAGCCATTGCAGCCCTTGGTGGACAGAGCTGCCACATGAAAGAAGCCACAGTCGAGTCTATGCAGGGCCCATTAAGGTTTCTCATGATCACAGAAACAGGACCATGCTGCTTGGAAAACAGGAGGCGCAGGTGTTCCATTGACACTCTATGTAGGCCCTTCACTGAGCCTCTTCCCTGTAGAACTCTCAGAACATAGTCTGTGTACACCTGTACACACCCTGGAAAAGGGCTGTGCAATGAGTCCCCTCAATAGTGCTGTTTATTAAATGTCCTAAAGGAGGGTTTAACAGTCAAGGGGGGGGGGTAGATACAGCCTGGGAGCCCCCCTACCTGATCTAAGAGTTAGTGCCCAGCTCTATGTAAAAGTTGTCTTTAAAATGCCTCTCCTGTGGTCTTGATCATATTGAATCCTGACCCACTCTGGTGGGGAAGGGGAAGCAGGAAGGATCTTCTCTGAACTCTCAGGACTCTTGGTGATGAGGATGGAGCAAAGGGCTGCTGGAGGGTTTGGGTCTTCCTTGCTGAATATTTTTCTCCCAGCTGCCCAATGGGTGTTTGAGGTGTAAACAGGCTTAATAAAACCCCATTCAGTGGACAATTGTTTTTATTTCCTGGGGTGAGACCACAATGCCCTGGTGGGGCAGACCCAATGCCAGTTGGAGGCCCAAAGCACTGTTAGCATCTCCCCTTCTGTGCAAAAGGGGTGGGGGGAGACATGTCCTACATTGCTGCAAGTAGCTGTCCTATGGGGGTGCTGAGCAATAAGGATGGTGAAAAAGTGCCTTACCTTCACCCTGGTGTACTTGAAAGCTTTTCTCACATAGCCCTGTCCTCTCATTTGATGCCTGGCATTAAGGCAGCCTAGAGCAGACATCTCTGCCCAGAATTGTAGAGAGACTCAAATAGCTGGGAGTGCCTGCAGGGCTGCACAGGGGAGGGAAAGCAGTGCATGGAGTACCTAGGGGTCGCCAGAGGCATGTAGATTAGGCTACCCCCCATAGGAAAATGGATCGGCAATTTAAATAATCACCACTTCATTTAAATTTAAATGGCTGCTGCGCTGAGTTGATCAGCTGTTTGTCGGCTCAGTGCGGTAGTCTGGACACTCCGCGGTCGACATCAAAGGCATTTGTCGACCTCCTAGGTAAACCTCATCCCAGGAGGCATACCTGGGAGGTTGACAAATGCCTTTGATGTCGACCGCGGAGCGTCCAGACTACCGCACTGAGCCGACAAACAGCTGATCATTTAAATCGCTGCTTCATTTTCCTAGTGCAGGTAGCCTAATCTACATGCCTCTATCGCCAGAGGCATGTAGTCTAGACGTACCCTAGAAGTGCATAGCTAGCAGGGGGCAGCACTAGCACCCAGAAAGATGTGCTGGAAAAGGGAGGTGGATGAAAGGATAGCTTGTGGCTGGGAGCTCCCTTTAGCTACAGTCCTGGATGGTGTGTTTTCATCCCTGCCCACAGGAACCTAGCATTCTTCACTAGAGCCCAGGAGTCCTGATTTGCAGTTCTCTCCTGCCCCGCTCCCCCAGGTTCTCTGAACAAGTAATGGCACCTCCCAGCTGGCCCAATTAGCCACAAGGGCAAAAGTCATTTCTAACTCTTATTTCAGTCACAGCACCTCTGCTCTGACCCCATCTCACCATGCCTACTACTAACTTGGGATGGGGGCTAAATGGCATTAGGGTGGAAGCAGAGAGAGGGAATGGGAATCTCTAGTTTTTCACTTGGACTTCAGCTTTAAGCTCATCTCTGGGCCAACAGCCAGCAATTCTTAAGGTCCAGAAGCTGGGGAAGTGGTTGCTCCAAAACCAGACAACCCATCACTGCCTCTCCCTGAGCTGCCTGTGAATCAGTTCCCTTAGGTCCACTGTGTCATAGGGAATGTGGTGGGTGAGATCTACCTAGTTCTCTGTGCTTTCTTTTGCTAGTTAAGGATTTCTACTTGATGTTTGATAGTTCAAGACCAGGAAGGCCCATTAGATTAGCTAGTTTGATAGTCTTGACTATTACAAGCCATTCACTTTCACCACTCCCCTTGTATTGACAATTACTTTAGTTAGACCAAAGCATTTTAATCAGGATACTAACCTGATGTGGGCCCTGGAAAGAACAAGAGGGGCTGAGGGTTCCCCAAGGTTCTACTTGATGTTTGATAGTTCAAGACCAGGAAGGCCCATTAGATTAGCTAGTTTGATAGTCTTGACTATTACAAGCCATTCACTTTCACCACTCCCCTTGTATTGACAATTACTTTAGTTAGACCAAAGCATTTTAATCAGGATACTAACCTGATGTGGGCCCTGGAAAGAACAAGAGGGGCTGAGGGTTCCCCAAGGGCCTTGCAATGGCAGAAAATAAATGATTGTGTAGCAGGTGACCCCATTCCACAGAAGGTGAAAACTTCCAGGGTCCCTGCCAATCTGACCAGGGGAAAATTCTTTCCCAGCCCCCAATCTGGTGATTAGCTGACCTTGAGCAAGACCCTCCAGCCGGGATGCTAGAGAGGATTTGATTTGGAATGCCAGGTTGGACCCTCTGGGCATATGGGAATGCCCACTGAATTTCACTGCAGAATTAAAGGGTGAGAAGAGATGTGCACAATCTGGGCCTGGTGGAAGGAAGGTTTGGAGCATTCATCTTCAAGAGGGAAGAAAAGGATATCAAGTTATGGGAGAGAGTGTGGCACTTTGGGCCATAAGGCAGAGCATACCAAGGAGCTAACCAGTGAAACCAGAAAGGTCTAGTTAGCCTGTGAAACGATCAGAGGACTGCACATTTGACAGAGCAAGTGGTCATTTATCTGGGTAAGAACAGCTAGTCACACTAGTTACTGCTAACTACAAGTTTTGTATGGGTTAACAACTTAAGATGCTCAACAATTAGGGGTCAGGATGACTTCCAAAGGAAAAGATTATGCCACAGTTGCTACTAGCAGATTCTTGCACCTAGTACTGGCTGTGGTCAGGGCCAAAACCCAGGCCTACATGGGACTGATCTGGCACTTCCCACAAAGAGTGAAAGTGAATCCTTAAGGGGTTTTTTGATTAAGTAATTGCACAAAACTTGGATTACACACTGCCTGACACTCTAAAGCCTGTGTAAGTGGTCAGTGCTGTGACACCATTTCCAGTATGTACACTACATTTCCAGTATGTACACTCCACGGCACCCTACTGGACTAAGACCAGAATTTCGAGAGTAAAAGTGAAGCAAGTCTTTTTGTTAAACATTTTCTGGTCCCCTCCTAGAACAACAAAACCAGGGTGAAGCCTCTTTGCTACCCACACCATAGGGAGGGTGCATGGTCAGACACTGGAGGTGTTAGCCAGATCTGGAGTATGGTTGGGAACAGCTGGGTTCTCAGAGAAAGGGCAGAGCAGAAGATGTGGGGCTAATTTCACCCACACTCCTTGGCTATGTCTAGACAGTGGGGCTTTCAGAATACTGGAAGTATTCTGAAAAAGCAATTCTGCATCTTTAAATACACCTGTTATTTCAAAATAATGGGTGTGCTATTCTGGTATCCTTGTAACCCTTATTCCACCAGGGGTAAAGGAGTTGTCAGAACAGCATTTTATTTCGAGGTAAGAGCGCTGTGTAGATGTAACCACCACCAGGCAGATTTGAACCCCTCGGGAGCTGAGTATAGGAGCCTCTACCCTCTGAACTAAAAGCCAGCTGGCTTCTAGCCCATGCTGTAGAGGTCTCTTGATCTTAACTGTTGCTGTGGTCTAGGTACCACTTGCAGTGCTCAGTAACCGCACTAGGGCTATGTCTACACTCGCGGCTTCTTGTGCAAGAACGGCTGTTTTTGCGCAAGAATCCGCAGAGCATCTACACGGCCCATCCGCTCTTGCGCAAGTAAATGTACAGTATGGCATGGTAAGAGACGGCTCCTTGCACAAGAGCTATGCTGTTTTCGATCACGCTTAAGCTCTCTTGTGCAGGCAGTCTTGCACAAGAGGGCAGTGTGGACGTTCGGCAAGCACGTGCTTGCGCAAGAATTGGCCTCCAGTGAAAAACCCAGGTGGCCTCTCCGACACTCCGTACAGGCAATCACCACTCATTGGTTCCCCCTAATTGCCCCCCCTTAAAGACACAGGCATGGAACACAGCTATTTGCCATGTGCCGCCCAGGGAGCAGCCAGAGGGAGGAATGGCAGCTGCCCAGCATCAGCCAGCTCCCTCACACCCCATGGAGGAGCCACCCCAGAGCACCCAGCAGGCCCGAAGGGGCAGCAAGCGGTGGGCTCCATGCTGGAGCACCACCCAGGTGACTGCCCTCCTGGACCTCTGTGGAAAGGTGGAGGCCCTCTGGGACCCCAAGTCCCAGAGGAGAAATGCACACATTTTTGTCCAGATGGCCCAGGCACTGGCCACAAAGGGACACCCGGCCTGGACCCTGGAACAGGTCCAGGCCAAAATGAAGGATCTGCACCTCACCTATGTGCGGGCTAGCGAGCATGGGGGTGGCAGAGCCACTGCCTGTCCCCAGTATCACCGCCTGCACTAAATCTTGCGGGACAAAGGGGCCACTCCCCTGCTGTCCCAGGTGGACATGGCGGTGGCCACCCTAGTGGTCCGACCCAGGCCACCGGAGGAGGAGGAGGGAGACTGGTCCTCGGACAAGGAGGAGGAGGTGGCAGAAGACAGCAGCCAGACCTCACCATCCCGGCCCAGCCCCACTCAGGATGTGTCCCAGGCATCCTCCGAAGCCAGCGACAGATTGTCTGGTGAGTGCAGTGGCTACCAGTTGCAAGTGTGCTGGTGGGGGGCAGGGGGGAGAGGGACCACAGGATGGGGGAGAGGTAGCAGCACATTGCACAGCCTGGCCACATGCTGCGCAGAGGCATGCAGCACATGCAACCTCGTGCAGCTAGGGTTCCTAGGTGTCCAGTTTAGAACCGGACAGTCCAGTATTTGAGCTCTCTGTTCAGGAAACAAATTGAGAGGATAAAAATGAGAAAATATACATCTGGGATTTTTTAACTAAGATGTAATGTAGATTGTCATGTAATGTCAAGTGTGTCTGGTAATTTTGTTGAAACCATCCAGCAACCCTACGTGCAGCCTGACCAAGTGACACAGAGAAGCAGCAGCTAGCCCCAGCACATGCCTAGGACCCCAGGGATTCCACTCAACCAGATTGGGGGGGAGGGAGGTTTGGCCAGGAGTAGGCCAGCCCCAAGGTTGCAGGCCTAACCCCACACAGCCTAAAGGGTGCTCCACACAACACACATCCATGGCCAACTCTGGGACACTGTAGCTTCCCCTGGGGAAGGCACAACAGGCCCCACCCCACCACATGTGGCCTCCCTGGGGGCTCCTGGGCCACCTTGGGACCCCCCCTCCACCCCAGGGGAATTCCCCCTCACCAGCCACACCTGTCCCCGGGCATCGTAACATGCTGGGAGGAGGGCACGGGGCTCTGGAGCACCATTGGGGCAGGGCTCACTGACCATGTTGCTCTCCTCTGCTTCTCCTGCAGTGGGACCCACAGCAAGGGAACCTTCCAGCCCCATCCCACTGGTGCAAAGGAGCCAAGTGGGACTGCCACCACCTGCTCCGCCGCCACGTCTGCACGATTGAGCGCATGGAGTGCACTCTGACAGAGAAGATCCGCACAGATGCGGAGTGGCGGGAGTGGGTGTGGGGCCAGTACCTGGAGCGCTGCAACCATGTCTGTACTCTCCTGGGCACCACTGCCAACCAGATGGGCCCTGTGCAGCAGCCCAATGCTGCCAGGCTCCCCTTTGCCACTCCTGGTTCTCCACCTGCCTTGCCTATGCCCCCTCCCGAGGTCCCCCACCCTCAGCACCTCCTAGTGCAGCCTGCCCCGACCCGGCCCAAGGGGCAGAAGTGCCCCCGCACCTGTGGGGGTGGGAGAGGCCTCCATTATCCATCATGAGGCCCTCCCAGTTCAGGGTCCCCTCCTCCCTCCAGTGCACTCCCTTCCCCATGTAAATAAAAAAGTGCCTTATGTACAGCAAGTGCATTTTATTTATTGGGAGGTGAGGGAAGGGTGGCAGCAAGGGGTGGTGATGGGAACGGGAAGTGGGGGCACGGGGGCACCCTTGCGGTCAGAGGTGTACGAGTGGCCTATTGTGGGGCCTGGTCCAGCATCACCCGGAGGGCTTCCCGGACCCGAACCTCATGGCAGTTGGTCTTCCGGGTGGCGGCCATGTGGGGCTGCTGGTAAGCTTGGCCCTCACCTACCATCCACCCCAGGAGGAAGGCCTCCCCCCTCCCTTCAATAATATTGTGGAGCATGCAAGATGCCGAGACGACCTCTGGGATGTGGTGCACCCCCATGTCCAGGCGGGTCAGGAGGAACCTAAACTATCCCTTCAGACGGCCAAAGGTGCACTCGACGGGATTGTGGGCCAGGTCCAGGTGGCTTTTGAAGGTGGCCTGGCTGTGGTCCAGGTCGCTGGTGTATGGCCGCATCCCCCAAGATGCACACGGGCATCCTGACATCCTCAATGGTGAATTCCCACTGAGGGAAGTAGGTGCCCGCCTCCAGCCTGTGGCACAGGCCTGAGTGCCTGAAGATGCGAGCGTCATGGGCCCCCCTGGACCACCCCACATAAATGTTCTGGAACCAGCCCTGGTGGTCCACTAGCGCCTGGAGCACCACGGAGCAGTAGCCCTTCCGGTTTATTAACCAGGCCGCTTGGTGCTCTGGGGTCCGGATGGGGATGTGGGTCCCGTCTATAGCTCCCCCACAATTCGGGAACCCGAGGTTGGTGAAGCCGGTAATGGTGGTGTCCATGTCCTGGGGGCGGATCACCCTCTGGAGCAGCACATCATTGATGGCGTTGACGACCTGCAGAGGGATGCATGGAATGAGAGACAGTGCGTACCTTTTGATGCCCCTCCCCCCCACGCAGGCCAGGGCCCTCTGCCCCCCCAGGATCTCCCCCTCCCCCACCAGCGGGGCTGTGTGCAGGAGGGACAGCATGACCCGCTGTATGCGGGGCTTCCCCCTGCCCCTACAGCCTTCCCCCGCCCGGTCTGGCCCCTTCCCTCTCCCAGGATGAGCCCATGGTCCACGGAGGGCCTTACCTGCCGGACGACCATGCTGATGGTGGACCTGCCCACCCCGAACTGGTTCGCCACGGAGCGGTAGCTGTCCAGGGTGGCCAGTTTCCAGAGGGCAATCACAACCCTCTTCTCCACGGGGATGGCGGGACGCAGGCAGGTGTCCTGTTTCTGGAGCGCAGGGGTGAGCCAGGTGCAGAGCTCATGGAATGTCCCCCTGAGCATCCGAAAGTTTCTGCACCCAGTGCTGGTCGCCCCATTGTCCCAGCACCAGGCGCTCCCACCAGTCCCCACTGGTGTCATAGCTCCAGAGGCACCTGTCAGTGGTGGGGTGCAGGTGCCCAAGCCCAGCTGCAGCCGTGGTGAGGTCCTGCACCTGCTGCCCAGTCTCCAGCTCCTGCAGGAGCAATGTGGCTCCCTGGTGGAGCCCCACAGCCTCTGTAATGGCCATGAGGAGCGGATGTTGCTGGCTGGGGTCCTCCTCCGGCTCCATGGCTGTGACGGTGGCAGCGAGGGTGCCCGGGGCACTTGCCAGGATCAGAGGTGACAAGTGCTGTTCTCAAAAGGGTGCATGAGCATGCAGCCACAGGGAAACAGCCATCGAGGAGTCCCTTTAAGTACATTTCCCAGTGGGGGTCTGGCGCATGTCCACAGACGCTGCTGGTGACCTCTTGACATGGCCAATTTGCTTCCGGAGATACATTCTTGCGCAAGGGCTTCCCGCCAGTGTGGACACTTTCTTGCGCAAGAGCTCAGCGTTCTTACGATGTGGTTCTGGCCAGTGTAGACGTTTTCTTGCGCAAGAGATCTTCCTGCGCAAGAACCCGCCAGTGTAGACATAGCCCAGGTGTGTGGGTTACATAGACACACCCCTAGAAGTGTCTGGGCTCAGTGAGCAAGATCTGATCTGGTCCTAGCTTCCTGGAGTAGCTCCCGATTCAGGTGGCAAGATCCAGCCCATAGTCAAGATAATTCCAACCTGGGTGTGTAAATGAAGCCACTTAGTGAGCCAAGACACTCCCAGGTGTTCCCGGTAGGGATTGCTTGAGTTACTGTAGTACAAACTGTTGGAGCAATGCTGAGGGAATGGGAAATAGCAGGATGCTTAAGTGCTGGCAGGGGCTGTTGATGACAGTTGCCTGTGATAGGAGACTGCATGACTCAGGAGGTCAAGGCCCACCAGGGACTGGTTTCAGTAGATGGCACTATTTTTATGTGCCAATAAGAAGGAGGCGCTGTTCTTTGACTAGTTTTATTAGGAACATAAGTCAGCAGAAAAAGTGGGCATGGAAGCAAGTCCCCCATGCCCCAGAGTTAGCAAATACATTAATAGTACATCACTCATTGTTAAAACCAACCCTCTATTTTTAGCCAATAGTAAGACACAGGACAGAGGAAGCCAAAATAGAGAGTCAGGTACACTATACAAGCCTTGTAATGGTGAATGCACAGAGAGGCCATGATGGGCCCAGACGCTCTGTAGCGCTCCTCTCTGGGCATTCCTACTGTGGGCTGGAGCCAGATGGAGGAGTGGCCCAGGGCCTCTGAAAGGTCCATAGTCTCTCTTAGGACATCTAGCAGAGCCAACTTTGTTTCACAGACCCAGGAGGGTGCTCCTCCTGACTGCTTTGGGCACTGCCACCACCCCAACAGCAGGCCCAGTGGAGTCTTCTGAGCCATGGAGTACAGATGAGGGGGATCCAGGGCACTAGAGGTGAAGGGGCAGTTCTGTCCCCTCCCACCACATGGCAAGGCACATATTACAACCTGAGGTCATGCCAAAACAGGCTGCAGCAAATATACAGCAGCAACCCCTATCCTCCTTACTCAGCTTGTAGAGGGCAAGGAGTACCTCCCAAAGCCACTGTGCAACAGAGGGAAGAGTCCCCCCTAGCAAGGAGGTGCAGAGTAGCCCACAGGTCATCTCTGCCTGCTGCTGGGTGGGAGGAGCCCGGTTTACACTCCCCACTCCAAAAAGGGGGGAGTTAATATTGCTTCTGCTAAGGCACCTTCTGGGGTGAGAAGAGAGAATTCTTTGCTTCCTCCAGCAACACAGAGCCAGTCTGGTCTGGATGCCAGAACTCACTGCCCTGTCTTAAGGAAACCCCTTGTGATTGGCTGCCTGCCCCAGGAGGCTGGAAATGGAAATGGGCAGCTAATCAGAACTGTTACAGGAGCTGGGGTAGAGCTCCCTCACACTAGCCAGCAATTTTCAGGTAAAGAAGAAGGGAGCAGAAAGAATCCAGAATCAACATTCCCTCTAATTTTTTTCCACCTATGTGGAATAAATTTTGTTATATGCACCAAGATGTGACGTACACCACCAGGAAAAAACACGTGTTCCCGGCTGCAGGAGTTCTGCTAATCAGCTGGGCAGCATTTGAATCTCTCCATGGTAGTCCCCAAGCGCTCAGCTTACAGGGAACACTGCTCCAAGCTCGGGGCAGCTTCACCCTCCACCTCCCCCATCCTGTGAATGAATCAAGCCTGTCCCGACCGTAGATCAGTCCATTCTCTGCCCTTTCCCCCTCCATTACTGTGAAAAGAGGGTGGGGCTTTTCTTTGCTCCTGCCCCCCAACCCCTGCAATGGGGGAGGAAAATAACTCCTGGCATTACCCACTCTTCCTGACAGATGGGAGACACCCACCAGTGGGTAGATACAGAGCAGGGCACGGGAGACATGTGGGGAGAGGCGGACAGTGAGATCTGAAGCCAAACAAAGCCAGTAATATAAGGCCCAGGCTGGAGGGAGACCTGGGCGGATTGAGTCCAGAGCAGAGTCTGATCTTTCCAGGGAGGTTCTCAGCAGATGAGCAGTTGCCCCGAGTCCTTTGTGCAAAGCCACACAGAGGGTGTCACTGTCAGTCTGTCTTTCCTAACATCCCCTCTAGGAGGAGCTGAACTGGCTGAGCAAGGCACTGAAGTCCAGATCTCCCATGGAGGTGAGGCTCTCTTCAGGGAGGGTGCCTAGGACCCCGTTGATGAAGCTGTTGGCACCGCTGCCCCCCCCACCTCCACCGTCGCCTTGTGACTCTTCCCCTGTCCCACTCACCACACCACGCTGGCTGCTCATCAGGCGGGTGATTGAGTCGGGATAGGTCAGAAGCATGTTGTGCCCATCAGCCCCCTCCATGGATGACCCCTGGCTCAGCAGCTGCCGGAAGTCATTAGTGTTGATGGACTCTAGGCTGGCGTAGGTGGTGTCATCCAACAGGGCTCCCAGCTCCATGGTAGCGGAGTCGCTCCCACTGTCAAAAGGCAGCTGGAACAAGGCATCAAAGCTGGGCTCAGTCTCAGGAACAGGAGGTGGGGGCTGGGCCCGGCTTGAGATGCCCAGGCTGGAGAACTGCTCCAGGTTGACTGTACTGAATCTCAGCTGGGGGGCGGGAGGAGCTTGGCTGGGCCCAGTAAAAGGTAAAGAGGTGTGCTGGGCCGTGGCCTGCGGTTTCTGGATTGGTGGCAGCTGCCCCATGGCCCCTGCCATTCCGGGGAGACCTAGAGGAAAGGAGAGGTTAGTGCGAGGAGGTAGGGGGGACCCAATGAACAGAGACCAATATTCCCTCTAATTTTTTCCATCCATACGCAGATTTTTTTCCATCCATAAATTTTTATGGGCACTGAGGCATGTGTGAATGTGCACCACCAGTAGAAACAAACCCACTTGTGGGCACTCTACAAATCAGCAGGGTGGCATCTGAATCTCTCCTGAGCAGCCACACAAGCGTGCGGCTTACAGGGAATGCAGCAGGGACCCCAGGACCTTCCCCCAGGATGGCATACTACAGAAAAGCACTAGAGGGGACTGGGCAGTCCCCACACACTGGAGCTGGACCAGAGCTGGTGCTCCCTAGCGGGAAAGCCCCCACGCTCCCTTCCCCGCCCTGGTGCAGTGTGGCTGACGCCCCCTTACCGCTCATGCTGGGTAGGCTGAAAGTGGGTTTGGGAACAGGAGCTGTGCGGCTAGGGACAGCGATCCGACGTGGTGAGCGTGCCTCTGGAACTACCACTGCTGGGAGGAAGGACCGAGTCAATGACCGGGGGGTGGGGCTGGGGGTGACACAGCAGAGGATCCCCTCACTGCAGCTAGGCCACCCTCAGATCCTCCCGGGACAGGAGGCTAATGGATTCCATCTCCCAACACCACAATTATAACCTGTACTAGGGGCAAGCAAGCTCAGTTGGCCCCCAACCCAATTGTTTTCAGGGCCTGAAGCCCAACTCAAAGCCCTCCCACTCCCAAGAGCTACGCATGCTCCTGAGCTGCCCTCCCACAACAAAGAACCCCTTCTCTCCAGACACTCCCAACTCCCTAGCTAAAATCCTCTCCATGTCCATCTAAGAGACCCCACACAACCTCCTGTCCATCCCCCCACATACTCTACTGCCCTGTCCCTGTTCAGAGCCATTAGCCAACCCCAGCCTCACCTGCGAAAGGTGTTTTCTGTACAAAGTTCTTGAAGGTGTCCCGTGTGCGCTTGCGCTTCTCCTCGATGCGATGGAAGTCACCTATGAGACAGCACAGCTCTTTAGCCCTGGGGACTGATTTCCCCCTTCCTTTCCCCCCTACCACAGAGCAGGGTACCATTCCCCGCTCCTGAAGCCAGCTAGTTCCCCTACTCTATGGCCAGAGTAGAGCCAACACCCCTTAAAGGAAAGTCCTCATGGTACCTTCATCTGGCAGGTAGCGGAACTCCATGGCCTCGCTGACCTCCTTGTCAGATGGGCGCCGAAGCTGCATCTGGACCGTCACCGGCTCCCTGAGTGCCTGGTCCTGATAGGGGGGGGTTTTGAACACGATGGCGACCTGCCGGTGCACATCTGCTTGCGAGAAGGAGCCCTTGGCTTCCCATGAGTCCTTGAAGAACCGGACTTCAATGTCCTCTGGAAATAAAGGGGTGGTGAAGGGGCTGCAGGCACCAGTGGGAGAGCTGGAGATAGAACCCAGGAGTCTGGCTTTAAGGATCCCCCCTCCTCATTATCCCTACAACTATTAGACCTTTCTGCCCTGCCAAAACTGTGGACAGACCCCAGGAGTTCTGACACCAGGCCAACCCACTAACAATGTTCCCTCTAATCTTTTCCATCCACGTGCGGATTTTTTGCATCCATAATTTTTTACGTGCACCAAGGCATGTGTAATTGTGAACCACCAACAGAACCAAAACGTGCTGTGGAGGCTCTGCTAATCAGCTAGGTGGCATCTGAATCTCTCCCAAGCATATACAGCTACAGGGAATGCCCACACCCCTCACTAACCACTGGCTTCCTCATCTGAGAGCAAGAGAACCAGCTGCTCAGAGGATGGGTATGTGGGGTGGGGGGGAGAAGTGCAAGTCACAATCCCTGTGCGGGAAGCCAGGCTAGAGATCCAGCTTTTGGAGAAAAAGCCAACTGTGTCCTGATGGAGGGAGAGACACCCCTGTACTCACCCCTCTGGGAATGCCCAGGTCCCCCATTCATCCTCTCATGCTAGGAGTCCCAGGGCTTCCCCCAAGCACTCACCTTTCTGCACTTTATCACAAAGCAGGAAGATCTCGTCTCCCCCCAGGCAGCTCCCTGAGTTGCGATTGACCCGGCAGATCTTCAGCTCAGCTGTGTTGGGGGCACCTGGAAGAGGGGGAGACAGTCAGAGTCTCCAGTACAAACCCACATGTGGACACAGGTGGGTCTCTTTCTAGGGGCTCCTCTCCCCACAGCATCCCTCGGCCCCTCCATTCTTCCATAACCACCCCCTACTGCTGCTCCAAGGACCCCACCAACTCTCTCAATCTCTGGGTCAAGGACCTGCTCCCAAGTACCCTCTCCCCTACTGCTGTGCTCCCCAGCTCCTGCAACTGGGTCAGATCCCCTCCCCACCCTGCTTCCAATCTCCCTCCCTCCACCCCCACCCCCCAGCTAGGCCTGGTCCTCTCTCTTCAGGCTCACGGTTGTCGTAGATCGGCTGTGACACCACAAGGGGAAGTGGCACAAGGTGTCCAGTACCCACAGGGTCCTGCACCCACACCTGGAAGCAAAGCCGCACGGCGTTCAGGTCATAGTCCCCCTTCTGGTCGTCCAAGGGCACTGCAGGGGTGAGAGGAAGGATGAGACTCTGGGGAGGGCTGATCCCCAATTCTACCTCCCCTCTCCTAGGAGTCTTGGCTCCAGCCCTCTCCAGGCAAACTCCTGCCCCACATTGACTGAAAGAGTTGTTATGGCTCTGAGCCCGGCCCATCAAAGAGCTCCTGTTTGCTCTTTCCCAAGGGGTTCCCCCCTCATGTCACAGGGGCTATTGTTGTTTCTGCCTCTCCCCTCCCGCGGGCAGTTCTCCCCCCGAAGGGGCCGTCCTTGGTTCTGCCCCATGCCCAAACAGTCCTCCCCCCATGAAGGGCCGTCCTTGGTTCTGCCCCATGCCCAAACAGTCCTCCCCCCATGAAGGGCTATCCTTGGTTCTGTCTCCCCTCACCATTGAAGGGGTTGTTGTTGGTGCGGATGCGCTGTGCCACTGCCTCATCCAGCTCCCGCTTCTTCACACACTGGATGCCCAGGTTCTGGAAGCTGAGATGCAGGCAGCATTATGCACATGGGTGCCAGCCCAGCCCGAGTTGGGAGCCCCCAGCCCTGCCCCAACATGCTGATCCTCACCCCTCGCGATGCTGCAGTTTCCCCAAGGTCACAAAGAAATCAGCAGGGGAGCTGAAGAGCCTTGATGTCCAACTCCCCCACCCCACAGCTTTAACCCACTCCCCCCCAGCCTTCCCCCAATTCCAGGGACAGAACCCAGGAGCCCTGACTCCTAGCCCCCATCTCTCATGCAGTAGAACCCACACGCCTACCAAACAAAGCTTCGGACTGAACACAAGCATTGGGGCTCACCTGTGGATGTTGCGCTCAGGTGACAGTTCAGCCTCATAGTAGCCATCCTTGCAGTCCTTGCCCACCAGCTCATGAGGGTGGGGTCGGTGGGGAGCATCTTTGGTCACCAGTGAGATGCGAACCTTCCCAGGACCTGTGTAATTATTGATCTGGGGGTGGAAGATGGTGGCAGAGATTAGGGGTGCCACGGATCCTCAGCTTGACAAAAAAGGTGTCCCACCCCCACTGGAAATCAGGCTAAGACCTTCCAAACTCACTGCTCCCTCCTGCTTTCCTGGGGGCAGCCGCTGCAGGGCTCTGGCCCCTTAGGCATAAGGCTACATTGGGATCTTATTCCAATCGGGAGCACAGGAGCGTTAACACTCTGACACCTTCCTCCAATCTCCTAGGGGGTGGGGAAATGAGTCAGAGTGAGGAAGCAGCATTCCCTGGGATCATGCAGCAAATCAAGAAAGCGAGAGAGAGACCCTAAGAGTCCTAGCTCCCAGCTCCCCCTGCCCCCTCTTGCCCACAAGCCCCCACTTCTTTCCCAGGAATCCTGGTTCCCAGCTCGCTGCTCCATCCACTAGGCAACCCCCAGGATGTCAATTGCAGGTCCAGGCCACCAGCCAGAGGTGAGGGACTGAGGAGATGCAGGAGTGGGGACACTGAAGGTGCACAGACCTGATTGGTGAGTGTGGGGAGGCGGGCTGATCGGTGTGGTGGGGGATGGGGCTGACCTTGATGGTGGGGTGTGTCTTGGTGGTGTCGGTGCTGCGCTCCCCGGGGATGCTGCCGGCAGAACGCCCCTCACACTTGTAGCGGAAGCGCATGCCACGTTGCTTGGGCTGTTCGATGATCTCCACATAAGGATTGCTGCTGGGAGGGGGCTCTGGGGACACAGAGACACAGACATGAGTGATGGATAAACTGAGTTGCAACATCCCCCACCCCACCCACAACTCTGCAATCAGCAATAGCTTTGGCTTGCAGGGCACAAGTACCATAGAGCATGGAGGGAAAGTCAGGCACATGGACTGAATGAGGGGCTGACTCACAGCCCTTCCGGCCCTCTCCACTAGATCCCACCTGGATAGAACCCAGGAATCTTTCTGAACAGCCCCACACCAGAGATGGTAGCAGTGCTGCATAGGGCCAGGGACAGCACCCACTGCCACATCTCAGCATAGTCCTGGCAGTTACCCCTCTTGAGGATTTCCTGATTGGAGCTTTACAGCAAGAGGACAATGTCCAGCTCCTCACATCACTCTTGCTGGCAGGCCAGCAGCGCTGAAGGGAAAAGATGGAATCCCCAGGAGATCTCCTGCCTGGATCAGGCTTGAGCGTTTCCCAATCATGCTCTGGGCCATCACCCAGGGCCTAGCCACTGACTGCAACTTCCACTGCAGGAATCCACCTCAGAGTGTGACTAATCCAGATTCCACCATGAGTCATCCCAACCCCAGTCAGACGGGAACCCCTGGCACTAGGAGCCCAGAATGCTGAGATGCAGCTGCCTCTGGGGTGAAAAATAAGGCCTGTTTATACACAGATCCCTCACCAAGTGCTGAGAGATAGCGTCACATTTGTGTCTCATGCAGTTAATGGCATTTCTAGCAGCATGGCACGCCCTAGTGACAAACTACAATACGGGGGGGCAGGGAAGAAGGCACTTACTCAGAGTATGTCTACACTGCGGCACTATTTTCATTCTGCATCTTTGAAACAAGCCTGTTATTTCAAAATACAATGGGCTCGCTATTCCGATGTCCCTGTAAACCTTGTTCCAGGAGGCTTAAGGGACATTCCGGAATAGCGGATTATTTCAAAGTTTGGCGCTGTGTAGACCGTGCCAAATTACAAAATATGCTATTTCAAAATTAACTCAGAATAAGATACGCAATTTGCATAGCTCAAATTGCATAGCTTATTTCAAGCTAAAGGTGCAGTGTAGCTGTCCTGAGAGAGCACCCCCTAGTGTCCTACTGCTCCACTCACTGCAGCACAGCAGCCTCCTGCATTCTATTCCTGCTCTGGGGTGAGAGCGCTATCTAGTGAGCTAGAGAAGGGGGTTCTGAGAGCCAGGATGTTTGGGTTCTACAGAGATAATCTCTAGTATCTGATATGGTTTTGTGAGGGACTAGTGCTCCAAAAGCCCTAACACCTTTGAGGGCAATTAGTAGTGAAATACATTAGTAATTATCATACTTTTGTTAATTACATTCATTGACTCATGACTCACCCTGGAGTGCCCAGTTCTGCTGGAGTAAGACAAAAGGCAGCATGTCTGAAAGGCAACAATGGGAGTGGTTATTTACATGACTGAGCCAGAGTTTTAGCAACTTCCTGCAGCAGAGAGTTCCACAAGTGCAGCATGCAGATGGGGCCCTTGTATGGTCCCAACTAGCAAAACAGCTCTCTTGTCAATCAGCTCCACCTAGTGTCCATACCTGGTATTACACCTCATCACCACTCTTCCCCCCGCCCCTCCCCACCCCCCAATGTATTACATAGTTCTTACATAGTTCTATGAGGCCTGGCCTATCTGCTGCCCAGAATCTTGACTTCCCCACAACATAGAGCTTATGCTGCCCTAGGGAAGAGTGGTGAGATGCAAGTGCCTCTGGGGTGGGAACAAGGCTGGCTAGAAGTTGCAGAATAACATGGAATTACAAATAAAACATATTCAGGCAGGGTGAGAATGAGGGGGGGAAGGAAGTAGTGCAGGGGCTCATGACAGGGAGTTAATGGCTCTCGATCTAGAGGACACCAAATTAAATTAATGGGTAGCAGGTTTTAAATTAATAAAAGAGAGTTCTTCACACAGCGTGTAGTCAACCTGTGGAACTCCTTGCCAGAGGAGGCTGTGAAGGCTAGGACTAGAACAGAGTTTAAAGAGAAGCTAGATAATTTCATGGAGGTTAGGTCCATAAAAGGCTATTAGCCAGAAACGGTGTCCCTGGCCTCTGTTTGTCAGAGGCTGGAGATGGATGGTACAAGACAAATCGCTTGATCATCGTCTTCGGTCTACCCCCTCTGGGGCACCTGGAACTGGCCACTGTTGGCAGACAGGCTACTGGGCTAGCTGGACCTTTGGTCTGACCCATTACGGCCATTCTCATGGTCTTATAATCTCAGATCTGTCCCAGAGTTGGGCAAATCCCAACTCCCCTACCCTGCTATTCTTTCCTATAACACACATGGGACCGTGCCAGCCTAGCACCACACCCAAATGTCAGAGGGGCCCAGGCTGCAGACATTGCCAGGCGAGGATGCAGCTGGAATGCCTCCAAGAGATACACTGAGTGCTGAAGGGAACAGGCTCCCTCCCATGGCAGTCAGGGCTGGTCCAGATGTCCCAGTGTAGCACTAAGAGGCTGTGCGCTGAGCCTAACCTCTCAACCCCACTCCCCTGGGGAATTTTCAGCTCAGACAATTCCATTTGCTCTCCCGAGATGCTCTGGCAATTCCAGATGTTCTTATTTGCCTCAGACACCCTTATGCAGCACTGCTGGGTGGCTGTTGTACATTGCCATGCTCCACCCCAGAAGTGTCTGGATCTCACTGGAAGATGAAATGATGGTTTCTGTAGTAATTACAGAATAGTCTGGACACTAGACCTGTCATTCCTACAGGACCAGAGACGCCTCCAACTCTGGGTAACAGCAAGCCCCAGACAAGCCCTGTTACAGAGACTATCCCCTCCCAAGCACACATCCTTCAGAAATACACCCAAGGGATCCCTGGCCTGGTACTGAGATGCAGCCACCTCTGGGGTGGGTTGGATGGGGGTGTTTATATATCATATAGCCCAGGGTTCCCCCACTGAACTCCTCCAGACACCTGGCTTCTGGTGGCTCCTTTGGGAAGACAATCCCGTGCCTCCACCTGAGCTCCCTCAACACACACTTAAGACCCCAATTCTGCAGCCTGATTCCGCCCAGCATAGGGGCTCCCAACTTCCATCAGACCAGCAGTTAGTTAATGCCTTTGGTTTGTTTGCAGAGCTGAGAGCTGCACCCTGGTTACTAAGGGACACAGCTCACTCATTAACCAGGTACCATTGTCCTAATAGGGCTGCTAGTAGGAAGTGATTTATGGGGCCTATGCATGGACCAGGACCAATGGAAGCAGCAATTTACGGTATCTCTTATCACCTCAAAATCCACAGGTGTGTCTCCGTGTAGAGAATAGAGACCTAGGACTGGGTTAGCAGGGGGCTGCAGGGCAGGATTGAGGGGGCACTAGAAGAGGTGTGGGGGTGGGGTGAGCCCGGGGCTGGGGTAGCAGGGGGCTGCAGGGCAGAATTGAGGGGCACCTGAAGGGAGTTTTCTGCCAGTTTCAGCACTAAAGTATTTAGAATGGAAAGGCTGAGGGGTGGTGGGGCAATATTCTAACCAGTGACCCCAGGCCTGCCAGCTCCGGGAATGGGGAATCCTCATCCCCATGTCCTGCTGGAAAGCAGGGGGAGGGGCAGAGAGAGCAATTCCTTTCCCTTGATGTCATCTGTTTTGTGCTGGAATCTTGCCTGCCACAGGCTGGGCCAACAGCTCTCCCAGCCAGAAGAGTGGCAACAGCTCAGCACAGGGAGGACAGAGAACTGGAGTTCTGGGGACCAATCTTGCCCTGGGTGCTGGAGTGGAGGGGAAAGAATGGAACTAGATGGGGGACTCATCTCTAAAAATTATGGGCATTATAACAGTGCCAGGCTCTGCACAGACACCGATTGAAATCAGGGGCACGGCCTGCTGACCCCTGCACAGACCCGGACCAAGACTAGACTCGCTGCAAATGCACAGTGAGGCAGTCCCTGCCCTGGAGAATGAATAATCCACAAAGAAGTGTTGGGCAGGAAAACTGAGCTACAGAGAGCGGAAGGGAGGGTGACAGGCCCATCAAGGTGGCAAAAATAACCCACGAGTCCTGCACACTATGTACTGGGTTGGGCTACCTCCACATACAGGTCCATTAAAGTTTCAGGAAACCTTTTCTGATGTGTAAAACTCCTCCGCTCTAGCGGCAGCTCTTAGAGGAGAGAGGGAACTAGGGGTCTGGGAGGCAGCAAGGTCCTGCTGGTTTTCTTCCCCCACTCCGGAGACAATCCAGCTATGCCTCCCCACTGACCGCAGAGGCCTCTACCCCATCTCTCCCCAAAAGCCATTGAAGTTGGGACGTTGGCAGGAGCCGCCTTTGTATATTGATTGTCTGCAAAGCAGCTGACATGCACATGTACAGGGGAGCACGTGCAGATCCATCATGTGTAAGGCCAGAAAGGCCCACTAACATCACCTAGTCAGACATCCTATATAGCACAGGCTGGCCTGGCTCTGTCCTGGAGGAACTGCAGCAGATCTTCCAGAAAGCCATCCAATCTTGATTTAAACGTCACCAGGGATGCAGAACCCACCACAGCCAACGGCTGGTCCACTGGTTAATTCCCCTCACTGGTAAAAAGGGATGCCATATTTCTATCTGCATTTGGTAAGCTTTAGCTTCCTGTAGCTGGATCATGTTAGACCTGCTTGTCAGTCTGAAGAGTTCTCATGTTAGCCAATTTCTGTTCCCCCTGTAGGTACTTTCTGTTCCCTGTGCACTCACCCGAGAGAAATGCATACAGCAGCGGTGGACAAAGGGGCCTCCATGGGCTGGATGTGGCCCACCAAGCCGATAGATCTGGCCTGTAGCTGCCCTGTCACTCCCCAGGCCAATAGAGACCTGGAGACAGGGGGAGCACACAATGTCTCCTCCCCTCCCCTGCCAATCAGCTAGAGAGAAACACATTTCTCTCTAGCTGCCGTGTGCCCCTGGCAGGGTTAGAACAGGGGGCAATAGACTTTGCCCACTCCCCAGGCCCTGATTGGCCTGGGAAAGCATGTGAGGTCCACTCCGGTTGAGGCATCTAGAGAGAACTGCCATCTGTTTTAAAACTGCTGATGATGCTCTCTGGGGGAAAGTGAGGGAAGACTTCATGTGCTTCTCCACCCCCAAGCCAATCAGGGTCAGGGGGGAGGAAGGGGGGAGCACAAGAGGTCTCTTGGCCCCACTTCTCCCACCCAAGGCCCAGCCCCCTCTGGGGCAGCCTGGGGCCACTTCAGAAATTTATCAAGTTGCCCCCTTTTAAAAATTATTGCCCACCCCTGGCATACAGGGAGGTACGTGTGTCAAATTCAAAAAGGCATGACAGCCACAGGGACTGAACTGGGGACTTCCCGAGCTACAAGCCTGCAGCCCGATTGAAACTACACATTTGCTGGTAAAAGCACGGTCACTTATGGGTGAGATTGGTTAGCCTTTTATACTAGCAAAAGCTCCAAAGCAAACTCAGGGCACTACTACTAAGGATACTAAAGCCTTTTGCCATGGCTCATTTTGCTTGAGGCACTGGTACAAAGGAGTGTTTTGCTACTATAAATGGAGACTGCTAGGAAGGTTTGCCAGTATGACTGCATTGGTATAGCCATACTGACATCTTTTACTAGTTCAGGACAGCATCATTACAGATTAAGCTAGAGCTAGGCTGGGCAGTTGGGGGCTGGGAGACTCCCATCCTCTGTGGATCATCACAGAGGAATGGGAATATTACATATAGACCTGGTAGTGTGGCCAGGTGGGTAGCACATAACACTGGGGCTCTGGACTCCTGGATTCTGTTCCTGGCTTTGCCACCAGTCTACTGGGTGATTTTGGGTAAATCTTCCCTGCCAGTGTCTCAGTTTCCCTCATTTGTAGAACAGGGGTAATTGCAGTTCAGTGCTAGGCAAAGGGATCGCTGTGTAAACCACTCCAGTGTCCCACCCCAGAGGCAGCAGCATGAGAATGATATTCCCCTGTGTAGCAGGCTTTGAAATCTGATCAAAAGTACAGAAAGAGCTAAAATTACTATTATACACACACTAGACTGACTACAGGGCAGAGTGTGTCATGTGTGCATCATCTGCATATACATACAAACACACTCCCCTGTGCACGTATTTCATGAGGGAGTTTATATATCTTCATGCATAAGCATCTTGTGTGTTGTAGGTGAACAAGCACATGAAGGGAGCTGGAGCCACACAAGAGGTGGTCACTGTGAACTAACCCGTATTGTGTAGCCAGAAGTCAGATAGTTGGGCCACAGTATGGACTGTAATGCACCTTAGAGGGTAAGGCCACAAATTCCTATTACTCTGGGATTAGGAACAGAAGCCCCGGTGCTGGTCCAGGACCCTACTGCAACAGATAATGTGTGAACACAGAATTCAAAGACTGTCACTTTAGGGAAGGGACTATCTGTCTAAAGAGCCA